ATGTGAGTGAAATAACTTTCTACTAGTTATTGGATACAGTCCTGGGATCATAACTGATGTCTGAAGAAGAGGAAAAATGGATTACAAGAATATCTGTTAGACTCCAAGAGATAGTTAATCAGGAGGCACTGAAAATCAAGATTGACACATGAATCCTCTTCTCCACATTCTGTACTAGCCTTTGGCAAAATATCCTTGGGACTGAATATTTGGGGTTAGACTGCAGAGATTATATTTGCCCTTTGTCCTAAAATTCTTGTCCATTTTAGTGTTGAAAACTGTGGATATTCATTCACATTTCTTGAGATTAAATTGTTGGCCCACCCAGTTGCTTCTTTTATCCCCTGGACTGACAGTGCAATTGCCAATACTGTTTTTGTACAGGAGACCAGACATTGTAAAGAAGAGCAACCCCCCACCCCAAATGCTACTCAAAATTTAAAAATTAACAAACAAAGGACCTTCAGCATTTCTGTCCAAAATGAGGGGAACAAATGGAACACCCTGGCCTACCTTTGTGTGTGAAATAGCTTTGGCCAGTCTGAATCACCATCACACCCACTGCAGCTTTTACTCCCTAAAAAAGTGAACTGTGATCTCCAGCTGACAAAATAGTGTGTTTTAGAGAGTAAGGAAATATATATCATGTTTCGGTTTGATTGATTTTGTTTTTAATTCATTCATCAAACTCTTTTTTTTCCCTGATCACTGCCTGTAACCCTGGAAACATTGCATCATGATCTGCAATATATCAGTAAGGCACTCTTCTAGACTGCTTAGTCCTAATAAGCTTTCTGTTAATACATTAAATCTCAGTGACAGGTTTTTGCCTGGTCAGTGGGGAAAAAAATGTCCAGAGAGGTCAAAGGGCTGGTGCGGTCACAGCACATTAAAATGAACAATAGGAAACTGAAACTACTTTTACTATGCTGGAATCTGGATGTTTCACTCCTGTATTAATGGGTCAAAAGCTTCTCAGCATTAAACAATCATATAAATTGTATTAACATTTAGGCCTGACAACTGGAGACCGTATGCTCCAAGAGGCTTAATGAAACTCTAACCTACTTTACAAGCATCCTAGTACTGTGTAATAATCTCTAGTCTTTTCACGCCATGTTAATTCCTGCAGATCTGTAATAGACTTCAGTCTGCAAAGTAGAGTGTATGTCTATGTATGCGAGAAGGAAAGGAAAGAAGAGATCAGTCAGGCACAGCCAGACACTCTGTGTGGGAAAGCATCCTGGTTTATAAAAGTCTTTTATTCTTACAGCTTCAACCAAATCTTTTAAAATAAATATCAGAGAAGCCAGCCAGTGAAGTTTTCTGGAGGAAAATGTCTCTAAAAGTCAGGACCTTTCAGGTCAATTTCAAATTACCTTGTGGAACAAAAGCCTTGCAGTGGCCAGTATGTACTCTTCTTTCTCTTTGCTTTCTCCCCTGGAGAAGGACTTTAAGACAGCCTGAAGAGCACTGCACCAGACCTGATTCCCAATTATAAAAGGAAAGCACTGAGAGCACCAGAGTGTGGGTATGTTCTGGAGGAAGATTTGTATCATGGGGGAGAGCAAAGGGAGGAATTTGCAGCTGTCAGCAAAACAGGCAACTAATGGCAAAGGAGGACCAGGCTTGGACTTCAGCGACCCAGCAGCAGACAAGCTGAAAGAAGAAGGAGAGCCCAGCAGCTTCACCACTCCAGCAGAAATGCAGAGAGGCTACAGCCAGCCAGCATCTGATGGAGCACCTTCCTTTTGTCACCCAGACTTAGAAACTTGCAAGCCAATGTTTCAAGAAGAGCTGACAACAACAGAAGCCAACTTGAAGGTGGCTAAAGAGTGTCTAAAGACTTTGATGTAAACTCAGGCAATAAAGGAGAACGGAATTGTTATAGACTGTTTTGGAATAAGATATATATACAGGCATGGATATGGATGTTAGTATATGTATTGGATGGTATAGTATAGGCTTAGTAATAAGTGGTAAGGTAGAAGTTATGACAAGAAGTAAATTTGTTAAACTTTATGTAATAAAAGCCTCCCTAGAAACACAGGGAAGATAAAAACGGTCTGTTTGCTGCCGGTCTCTTTGGGTCTGACCATGCTAATTACCCAACAGCATTTGTTCCAGTGGTTCTGGAAAGTTCTGGGACTTTTGATATTTAGTTACTCTACATTTTTGCCTGTTGTTCATATATTTCTTCTCTTTCTCTGCTTTTATCTGTCTCTTGTGCTAGTTTGCCAGTTAACTTTTTTTAATGTTTGTGATGTTTAATATCAACTGAATATTTTTGCTGACTGAACTACGTGTGTGTGCTTGCTCAGATCTGAACACTGGGAGAGTTCTGGGTACAAACTAAACTGGAAAATATCCACAATCATTTTCCAGTACTCATACCATTTATATTAGCCTAAAAGATGCCACTGGTTAAAAAAAAGACAGATCCCTTACTTTTCAGTTGCTACTGATCTAACCAGTGTGTCAATGAGTCACGGCAGCTGCTGATGCTTTTTGCTTTTTTTTTGTGCCAGCAAAAATAGGAGCTAAAATTAAATGCCTTATTTTGAAAGCATTAGGGCTCTCATGTTAAATTACAATCTATTTAGCCATTTTTGAATGAATCAAATGGGCCTGATGGTGCAGTTTCTTTATCTGCAAACCCAGTCTTGTTCAGCCAAATGTTTCTCTAGTTAGAGTGCCTATGTTAAGTAGATGATTAAAAAAAAAAATCAAAAACTCCAAAATAAATAGAAACATGAGCAATGCCTATTCAAAATTTTCCAGAAAAGCACATCTGCACTGGTTTTGCTAACTCTTGTTAGCTTTGCTATCAGAATTCTGTTTTAACAAATCTTGATCATATCTGACTCTCAGGTATAGAATTGTATGAAGAATACTTTATATTTGTTTTTGCATGCCTGCTTACTGAGATAGTGAGCCCTGATTAACATTGACTTTAGTGGTCTTGTGCTTATATTGAAATTAGTCTGATCCAGCAAAGAGAACACATGAACTGCTCCCTTTTCCCATATATGAGAGAGGGTAGTATGGTCATGGAGAAGAAATTCCTTTGACCTGAATCTTTGGAGAAATATAACCAAATTGCACTTTTCTTCAAATCTATGCCAGAAGGCAGCAAATTCTAAACTCTTAAGAATTTTGTGGTGGAATTTGTGATTCAAAATGTAAGGTAATGTTCAAACCCCAACTGCATTTGAGGGAGAAGCCCTGAAATGAAATGTATTTGAAACTTCCTTTCAAAGTATTTATGCTAAAAAATGTGCCTACAAAAATAGTATCAAATGACCACAAATTAGGGGGGTCCATAGTCTAGAAACAGATTAGTTTGGTTAGTCGAAAGATGTTCCAGATTTGGGCCCACAGTTGCTGGACTAAGATTTGGACATCAGAGCTTCATATAGCTTCTTTCTCCAATAGTGTAAAATAAGAGAAAAACCACAACTCCAATAGTGTAGCATGAAAAAAGGTATGATTTTGTTCTGTTATGTTTTTAGAGAGAATGAGATTTACAAATTAAAGAAGTAGAATCAGAGAATCGGAGAACTGTGGAATAGGAAAAAAACACAGATCAACTGGTTCAACCTTCTGCAATATGTAGAAACACCAAATCAAAATCAAGTAAATCTTTATTTTATGCTGGTTAATGACAATAAACATAACAATTTGCCTAAATATGAAATTAATAGGATTAAAATGAGTGGTAGAGGGTAAGTCTAAAACAGTAATTTAACTCAGAGAAATTTTAATTAAAAACCAATTATGTCAAAACCTTGAGAGCTCACTGTTGAGCCTCTTCTGACAAACTTCCAGAGATAGAGAACATGAGCCTTGGTAGAAATGAATGGTGCTGACAAAAAACCGTGAGTGTAAACTACATTGATCTAAGATTACATTCCATATCATAGGCACAAGTCTGATTAATGCAAGGATGTTGGACCATCCATATGAACTAAGATAATCATATGCAAAAAAATTTATAAAGACATGACTTAATTAACTATATTCACAATGTGTAGATCTTGCAACTGTGGAGAGAGACTATAATGGAAAGGTTGTCACTGTGAGTTTCTTTTAGACTGCTGAACTCTTATTTACCGAAAATGATCCATGAGATGGAAGGGAAATGGGTTGACTCAGGAATCCCAGGCTGATTTTATACAGCTGGCAGATAGCAAGGCTTTCTCATTTTTCCCCCCTATTAACTGGAAAAATGGATCAAGAAATCACTGAAATAAAGCGAGCATCTGGGAAGTTCTTTGGCCAAGTATAATTGAACTTTGAAGCATTCATTTCTTTTGGGCTGTATTTCTCTCGTAGACTGTGGCTACTTGCAATGCTTCATTTGCCTCCCAACCATACAGTATTCATTTTGTTGGCCCATAAAAGCTTATTTCCACCCACTGGACATAGATAGGAAATAACTTTAAAATAATTTTTAAAATGTGATACTGCCTGCAGGCTCCAGATAACTGGTATGTTTAGTCTGTATAACATCTGAGGTCTTTGAAATGATAATACACTAAAGGCCCCGCTGCACTTTATGCCATCCATGTGAAGCCAATCAAAATAATTTCCACCTAGTAGATACAGATCTATGGTTACATAAGAGAATATTTTAGGCTTCTTTGAAAATCTGCATGTATCAATGGATCTTCTCTGTAGTCATGTGGTAGTGGCATGTTGATTCACCACACACCATGTATGTCTCCTTTGCTACCTATTAAAGTCATATTAATAAGAGCCACATACAGATTATTTCAAATCTGCTATCAGGTTTGTTAAAATGATAGAAGTACACTGCTACCAAACCAGTAAGACATCCAGTGTAGGAAAATATGCAGTCAGTAAACAATGGCTAAAATTAAACCATTTGGAATGAAGATCATGGCTTGGTTATTGCAAGATGGATTAGGAAACTTTTATATTTTATAAACTAATAATGCATATCAACATTTTTGCTTTTTTGTTTTATTTTCACTTACCAACCTCCATAACACTAGAACAATTGGAATCTGTGATGCCATCAGGACATTCGCAAGAATAGAAATCATCCAAGCCAGACACACAGATGCCTCCATTTTCACAAGGATTAGAGTCACATGCATCCCCTGTAAATTAAAGAAAGAGGTGTCAATTGTATGGTGAACAATACTGTAAATATATGTTCACTAAGCTTCAGGAAAAGTTTATTATTTTTCTATTTTAATATCTCTTGACAAGAAAACTGTTCTACAGGGCTCTTCCAATACTTTTTTTGTTAAGGGTTTAATAGGAATCATCTCCTATTGAAAGCCATGCATTCAATGCTATATGTTAAAAATGGTATTATGATTATTTTTTGTTATGTGCCATTAAGCAAGTAGTATCTGTTGAATACTAGGGATGAAATATAAAACACTGCCAACCTAGAATAAGGAGGATTAATAGAAGGGATATTGCTAAACCAGAAGAAAGGAGAGCATCCAATATTTATCCCTCAAAGCACCTACAAAAGGGGAAAATATGAACTTCCAAAGAATCTGTCAGCAACAATAAAATAGATAACATTTTAGACAGACCTAAAGAAAATAGGAAGAGCTCCAGATGCATCATTTTATAAGTGTATTTTAAAAGGAAACGCTGAATTATAGGTTGTTCAAATATATTTTTCTCATATTCTTTTTCTCTATTCAACACTAAGAAAGATATTTACTTGTATTATTAGCCTACATTTCCAATACCACCACTTCGAATTCTATGGCAAATGGACTTTTTTTTGCAGTTCAATAACATTCATGTACTTTGTAAGATTAGAAAGTTTGAACAATTAAGGTGCAATTCTCTTAAATGCGACACCATTCATAAAATACATGAGTTACATAGGCCCATGAGAGGAAGAAGTATACTGTTGCCTTATTGATAACATAAGTCATCTGCAGAGAAAAAGCCAGAATGAAAGCAACTGCTTATGGGAATGCTCTGTCATAGGACATTATTATGTCAAATTAACTTTTGGTTCTTTTAGTCTATACGTTGACCTTGACTAGTTTCAAATGGGGAACAACTATGAGAATTTTGGCAGAGACCTATCTCGCATATACTATCTCCAGGTGGGCATATCAATCGTGCAGTAGCAAAGATGTGAGCAGCTGATCACATTCCCCACATCTACTCTGAAGATTATGTTAACACAGAGATATTAGAAATGAAGCTTCTATGTTAGCAGACACCCACAGAATTTGTAAAAATTAACTCCTGTTCAATAGATGGACCATCCAACTTAGCTGCAATTTGTTAATCTAATATGTTTAAAATAAACTATTTTTCACAGTTCTATATACAACCCCAAACATTTGCTAATTGCTGATATAGGGAAATGGTAAAAATATGTTTATTCAACCAGGAAGACATCATACATTTGTATACTTAGGAAATAGGTCATATTGTAGCCTTCCCCCATCTGGTGTTCTCTAGATATATTGAACAGCAACTCCCAGAATTCCCACCTGATATGCTCATTAGCCATACCAGATTGGATTTTTTTTTAATCTCCTCAAAGATATGACATTTTGGGTAAGTATTTTGCTTTTGTATTAATATAGACCAGGAAAATTGAATGGAAGCTTGAATTTTAAATATAAAGGGTGGGAGTTGTTGTAATCTAAAGATCAAATTTTGTAGCCTCTCATCTGCTGGATTGTATATTGACAAATTGACCCCTTACAAAATGTAATATATTTGTCCAGAATATGACATATGACTTCAGCATATACTCAGCAAGGCATTTCTGATTCTAGTATTTCAAATTGCAGAGCTGTCAAGCAGAGTATAATCTAGAAAACACCTTTCTGCATAGAATTCATTTGATTTCACTGGACTTTGATTACACTTGGATGTCAGGGATCCATCTGATTAATAGTTCTCTTTCTGTCATACTGGTGCACTGTATTTCATAATATCCTAATAATAATGAAATCAGCTCATGCAGTATGTCAGCTAAATTTCTCTCCTCACGTATGCATCTGTCATATGCTGCTAATTTTGTCATTTTAAAATTTAATTTCCTCTTATTTAGGTCAGAAACAAACATATTCCTTATTGGCCCCTTATTTGTCTGATTGCTAAGAAATAGAGAGGTACTGCTAAGAAGTTTGATTTCCTCTGGATTAAAGTGCATCAGAGATATATGGTTACTCTGAATAATGGTTTGATTTACCAATGTACAAGCAGAGCCTAGTAAAAACAACATAAAAAAGCAGAAGAAATGGATTTTCAAAGCAGCAGTATGATCTCAATATAACATTATGTATCTCCCTAGCTTCCAACACAACTTGCATCAGGTCCAGATACATTCAAACTCTCTGTTTTTATTTATTTATACCCTTCCCATCTCCCCCAGACGGTGACTATATAAAGTATGATCTATACATAAAAAGACTCTAAAATTCAATATGACTGGAGGGGGGGTTAGAACAATTACCCCCTGAGCCAATTCCAATGATGTGAGGCCCCAGGCCATCTGGCATAGCCAAGATTTCACACTCTTCCTGAAGGCCATGAGAGTGGGGTTGCACTGCACCTCAGGTGGTAAGTTGTTCCACAGAGCAGGGGCCACAGCAGAAAAGGCCCTCTTCCTAGGCCCCACCAGTTGAAATTCCTTGACTGGTGGGGTCCACAACATGCCCCTTCTGCTGGACCAAGGGGGGGAAGCTGATATAATGGGGGTGAGATGGCTCCTCAGATTACCTGGTCCTGTGCCATGAAAGGCTTTAAAAGTAATAACCAACACCTTGAATTGGACCTGGAAGCAAACCGCCAACCAATGAAGCTTGTATAACAGAGGTGTTATATGAGACCCCCAGGGTCATTCAAAACTGTCCGTGCCACTTCATTTTGTGCTAGTTGTAACTTCTGTATACTCTTCAAGATTAGCCCCACATACAGTGCAATGCAGTAATCCAACCGGGAGGTGACCAGGGCATGAATGTCTGTGCAGAGATCCTCCTGATTCAGGAAGGGGTGTAACTGACGCACAACGCAAAATTCCCTCTTTTTCCCTCTTTTTCCTAAATTCAGGTTCCAAACTGCTTTTTTCACAGACTATACATCTATGATTTCAACCTTGCAGGTAGTTAAATATCCATTCAGGAAAATATGCCCCATCACCCCAGTTAGGAAATATATTCTAGTTCTCTATAACAGCGAGCAATCAGTTTTACAAAGGTTGGTTATCTAGTAGCTATAGCACAACCTCTCTTCTTAAGTTTGAGTTTGTTAGCCTTTCAGAATAAAGACAGCTGAAGAGGTCATAAGAAAGAAATAAGGTTTTAGAAACCTTCTTGGGAGAACCATTCTAAAATATATCCAAGTGATATTTTTTTTTATATAGATATTTCTCTGTTTTTGTTTATGCTATCCTTTCCATGAAATGAAAAATCCACAGCATTCCCTTTTCTATAAAAGTATCTATCAGGAACCCTATTACGAGAGCAGCTTGGACTCATATAGAGGGAGCTGTTCATGTTCTTTAAACAAGTGGCACTGAAGCTACTAGAAACCAATGGTCAAGACTGAGTCACAACCAAAACCCATTACTCCTACCACTGGGTCTGTCTACTTTTGAAGTTCCTGTTTGATTAGGACAAGACAATTGCTGTATTCAAACTATTAAAGAATATAAGAAAAGAAAAAAAATATGAATTCAACTTCCAAGTAAATCATTATGCCAATAAGCAGTCATATAATTATTTTCATGAAGGACATACAACACTGTAGTCATGTTATCCCTGAGTAGAGAATCAAACATTCTTTTCTTGTGCTGTGCACATCTCTGTACAGGCTCACAAATCTCTTTATATTAAACCTATCTTTATATGTCAGCCTAGCTGGGTGGCTGCATCTAGCTGATATTGGCTGAATTCAAAAAAGTAGTCATCCAAAAATATCAAGCCTATAAGCTAAACTGGATCAAATGCATCCCAGAAGCCAGTAATGGCAAATCATTTCCAGGGGAATGACATAGAGATGATGATAAAGTTATCAGGTTGAGTTCAGTTTGAAGGGCACTTACTTTTTTATACATGTCAACTAAAGAGTCATCTTACTGAGCTCAGTGGGATTGACTCACTGGTAAGTGGATATAAGACTATGGTCCTTTATGGATTATCTATCTATCTATCTATCTATCTATCTATCTATCTATCTATCTATCTATCTATCTATCTTTTCCTCTTACCAGGGAAACAGTTTCATTGAGCTCAGTAAGATGACTTACTATATATGTTCTAAAACTTCCTTGGTTCAAGCTATAGGTCTCTTCATCAAATCCCAAAACTGTTGCTTCTTGTTATGAAGGAAATCCTGTTCTCGGTTAATTCTATTTTCTTGTCATTAATTAGCCCAATCATAAAATATGCTCTCAAGTGAATATAGAAACACTTCCTTGACATCATAATTCATAGACTCCTACATTTTTTATCACTTTATGGGGCTGTTTATAGAATATACACAGTAGCTCTAGAATTTCCTCTAAGGCAGTGGTTCTTACCTTTTTGTGCCATGGAATCCTTTGAATGAAGTGAAACATGCAGACTACCACTTGGTAGATAGCAATGAAAGCTACATAAAAGACAGGGACTGTAATGTAACTATACCTACAAGATCAGAACTGTATAGGCAATGATTTTCCCTGTGACACTCCATGGAAAGGAAAGTTGGACTTCAAAGAGTATTGACATTTTTGAATGTTGGGGTTGGAGAAAACTCTAAAAAATACCATGGATAGATAAGAAAACAAATAGGTCATAGAACAAATCAATGCAGAGTTGTCACTTGAAGTACAAATGACCAGGCTGAAATTATGATATTTTGAACACATTATGTGAAGATCCAGCTCCCTAGGCAACTGGGAGGAAAGAGAAGAAAAAGATAATGCTGGGACAAGTGGAAGGAAAGAGAAGAAAATAATGACTAGAAGCAATGTGGATGGACTTGACTTAAAGTGACTTAAGTCACTTTTTGTGAGATGGGTGGTATTCAAATTTGAAATATAAAAATCAATCAATCAATCAATCAATCAATCAATCGGAGATGGGGCAGATCATTCCAGAGAAGGTCTGTCTATGTTGTC